GGAAGAGAACCAGAAATCAGAGGTCAATAAGTACACTAGAAATGCTTTCTTACCCCTGACGCCTGGTAGATGGCTGGAAGCGGAGTCAGTAAGGTTGGATTACAAACTGTGGGATTTTCCCACCTATAATCATTTTGCCCCGATCAGTGGCAATTCCTACCACTTTCTCGCTAGCCTCACGCATGAGGAGTTGAGACTTTGCAAGGATAAGTCATTATCTAAGAACATCGACCTTATCAGGAGAAATCAACCCCTCAGTGCTACCGATATGAATTTCCCCCTAATCGGAGAGATCGATCGAGCCAAGTGCGTGGTTACGAAGCCTGCTCTTGCTGTCAGAGGATTCTTAGGATCGAACGGGCAGCCGACTCTTGTTGAAATAAAACACATATGGAATGTCGGACGACCCTACTTGAAATGTCGCTGCATCCAGGAAGGCAAGGGTGAGGGTAAGAAAAATATCACATGGCTGGACCATGTTATTTGGTACTGGCTTGCTAACCTTGAGTACTTGTTCCCCTCTGCCCCCTCGCTGAGGGCTCGTGCTAGGGCATTCAGGGTCCTCCTGAAGTCTAGATGGGGAGCAGCTCTACTTTCGTGTGTAGTATTCTGCCACATGAGGGAGATCATGGAATCTATGACCTTCACCGTCCTATCTGATCCCACCAGAAGACCCGATAACATCTTGGATGATAGGGCCCTATTGATGCACAAGTTTCCCCGCAATATGACCCTCCTGATTCTCCCTCCCATATTTGTCACTGTGACGACCCGCAGGAAGAGGAAGTCCATGGAATCCGACGACCGAATGAAAAGTGTGAAGGAGGCTAAGCAGACCACCTTGTCATTCTACGTCAGACCGCAAGGTGACCACTCCCTAGTAATAGTGACAGGAGCAGTTGGGGATGATGGCACCCATCCGAGTTCATGCGTAACCGTGCAGGTTGATGGGCAGACTTCGGCATGCGACAGATTCGTGAGGAGTCCTAGAACCCAGCCTGCAGTCAAAAGCCTATTTAGGGCATGAAAGGGTGTGTTGCTCATCTCCTTTACGTATGTGTATTTGTGTGTTGTTTTCTTTTTCCGTGTTGTGCCTGACAGGAAGCGGAAGGATCGTTTGTGTTTGACCCGTCAGGAAGAAAGAAATGACAAAAACTTAAGTCGAAAGGAATGGAGTGCTTTATCCATCTGAAGTACGGCAGTCGAATCATGGGGATTGTTCACTTTCGTTCTATCCTTGAGAAAATTGTGGAGCTTTTTTTTCCCGAGGTTGCTGCCCTACTGACCTTGGTCCTAATTGGATGGTCCTACATGGATACCTTGGAATCACTGGTCTACAAGCCAGCAAAGGTTTTTCGTGATTTTGAGTTGAGTGATTGGATGAAATTTTGCGGAGGGTCCGCAGAATGTCCTTGTAGCACGGACAGATTCTTCCCCTTCCATCACCCTTGCACCATCTCAATGTCTCAACCGTTCTCCTCTACAACCACTCACACGCTATCTATGGACTTTGCAGTTTCGTCTAATCGGAAGTTGCAGGACTTATTGAGACAAGGGCTTAATCACATCCCGCCGTGGCCTAGGGTTGTTGCCCCTGCGCTGCAAGAATATATGAAGGTTTGGGGTGATATTAAGCGCTTTATTTCAAGGAGGGGGATGCTAAGGGACAGTGAGATTGAGCATGCTGACCGTTTCATGTCTCAACAGCTTAAACGGCAGCTGGGTATCCCGTCGCTTAGGAAATGCAGAGACCCTCCGTGTGACATCCTAGATAAGGGTGTCGCCAGTGAGGTTAGTTTTCTCACGAACAGGTTGTTCGTCGCGAACACTGACAAAGCGGGAAATACTCCCTCTTTCGTCTGTATTCATCTAATCAGGAAACTTCCCCATGATAGACTACTACTACTGTCAGGGGATTTTGAGCGGTGTTCTTTTCGTCAGGCGGAGGTAATGGAAGATGCACAGAAATCTTTGGCAACACTATTACCGTTTGTGTCTTTGGGACCAATAAAGCTTCCATACTTAATGGCGTTGTATAAGCATTACAAGCTCACGTTTAGATGACTCACCAGTGCGTCCTTCACTTTTTTCACCCTTATAGATGCTCTTTGTGATGTTGTACTGAAATGTATCACACCGTTGGTGATGGTGGCATGTAAGGAAATCACTGGCATACTGTCCAAGTTCCATGGAGTAGATACATCCATATGGTGGTCTGTTGATTCTGTACAGGATTACTGTTGGAACCTCCCGGAGAGAGTATATCTAGTTTTTTCCGCCAACATCACCACGTGTTTTGAAACAATACCCATTGATGACAGTGATGATGGTCTATCGAATGCAATCAGATTTTTTGTCTTGCTTGCGACAAAGTACACGAGGAGTAAGAATCTTAGTTCGTTCATCAGATGTAGGAGGAATGCTAATGGTAAGTCTGCTTGCACCACCACCAGGTGTCGGGGCACAGCGCAGAGTGAGCGCACCTTTTACCTGGAATTTGGGGAGGTGGAACGCATCACCTCATGGTTATTCATGAGATGTTTTACCATGTTTGGTGGGGAAATCTGGAGACAGACCGAGGGCATTCCCATGGGCCTCCCATGTTCCCCTATTTGGTGCACTGTTTACTTCTTTAAATATGAATATCAGCTCGTAATGAGGCTGGTCGATTTGAAAGTTCACCACCTTCTTCCGCTGTTCAAAAGTACTTTCAGATACATCGATGACCTACACGTGTTGAACAACCCATCGATCATGATGTTTCTTAACCCAAGCAGGCCAAGGGAAGATTCAAACCCTTTTTATATGTACCCACTGCATCTTATTGAGATCCAGAACCAGACAAAGGTATTTACTATGGGCCCTGCAGGGGAACTTTTTGGCTTGAAGGCGCGTTTTTTGGATACTAAGATCACTGTGTTTTCTTCTGAGACTGGGGAGTACAATACTCGAAAGTACGATAAGAGACTTGCCCTCCCGTTCCCGGTTGTACGATATGTGAAGTATCGATCAAACAGGCACGTACAACAGTTGCTTAACGTCATCATTCCACTAGTGGCGAAGGTACTGGTTATCCGCTCTGAACCAGCTGTTGCTGCGCATGAAATAATGAGAATTGTGGAATTCATGGTTGACAATTGATTTATTAGACATAGATGTATAGCTTGTGCAAAAAGAGTCATTGACAATCCTCAGTTGTTTCTCCCTCCCAGGGTCGATGTCACTGAAACAAGCTTTATTCTCAAGGTATGATCTCATTTACCCATTACCCCTTCCCCCTACATCAGGTGTGTGTATTTTAGATGAGCATGTTTGTTGTATGTGATGTTATTGTGTGTCATGGTTAAGCCCCCAACCTGCAGGGCTGCTATGGTAGCTAGTTGGTACCTTGCCTATGGCAGGTACCTCCTACCTGCCATAGCAAGCATACCTCTAGCGAGGACAGGGGTGGGGCACACACACACACACACACACACACACACACACACACACACACACACACACACACACACATGCGCGCGCGCGCGCGCGCTCATAATGGATATAATGATGTATATTGTTTTCTCTGAGCTGTTCTTCCCAAAAACAAAATTTGAGATCTAGCTGCCCCTACTGACCTGCCTGACCACAATAGGTTTTCCCCTTGGAAGAAGAGCTACCTGTAGCTTTGGCTGGGGGCTCCCCCTGCTTTTCTACTGATGGTAAGTATCCCTTCAGAACAGAGCCTACCGCTCCCAAGCGGGATTTTTTCTGGTTCGGACACAGGAACCTGCTACGGGGGACTTACTCTGGCAAACCATGGGACGCTTGGAACACACTGTGTGTTAGTGGTTATATACACCAACCGGTCCATGGGAAAATCCTCCTCAGCCGCCGACGCTAGCGCATACGTATGAGGTGATTGCCTGCTTGTGCCGACGGCGCTTGACGGGCGGAGTTGCGAGCGATGAGTTGGTGTCATCGCGATTGGCTCACTGCGGCCCCAAAGTGGTGGATGTGCTGCATCTATGTGTTTCTAAGCGGCTTTCAGCGACCGTGTTTTGTTTTTCGGAGCATGGTGGCGGAGTATTGTGTGGGAAATGATGATGTCCCTATGAGGCGATATTGAGGGACTCTGATCTCCAGTCATGATTCCTCGAGTACGTCGGGTAGGTGCCGAGTGTTGCCTTTTATCCATCGTTTTTTTGGGAGGCTGAGGGTAGATTGCCCTGTTCCTATTCTGCAAGGGAACGGAAGGGTTCCTTGGATAAGGAGAGGCGACATGTGCCTGTCGCTGATTATTGGATGACTTGCGGGCATTCCGACGGATGAGAGGTATCGCGCAGTAGGTACGAGGGACATAGCACTCTGTCATTGGCTACGCATACTTCAGCAAAGAGCCTCTTGTACTGGTGTTGAGGTGAATGTCGATTGGGTGTTTCTGGAAGCAGGGACGTATCGGGATCGTGCTGCGATCACTACTCGTGTGGTACTAAGACCTGTTGAACGGGCCATTGAGGCCGCTCGAAGGAGAGAGAGGGGGGGAGTGTGGTGGTCATCGGAGCAGCTTGTCACGAGGATTTTCCCAATCATGGATGCGGGCATGGTAATGTGATGATGTTTGACCACCCACCCTCGGAGTCCCCACCCCCCCCACTTTCCTTCCTTCACTCCTTGCTCGCCTGAGGACGGGTGTCTCTGTATATGAGTCACTTGTTCTCATGGTTTGGTTATCCCCTTTCGGAACATAATTGTGGGGGTTGTTTTTCCTCTGATGAGCCGGGTTAATGGATACCGACGAAAAGTACTTTAGGGATGAATCTACTACCCTCCCTCCTAATGTCGACTATGAAGAGTCGCTTAGCTGAATTGGAAAATTCTGAGTCTTTAGGATAGGAATGTTCCTCTGAACGTGTACATGTATATGTATTTGACGCACTTGTCTTGTGGTAATGTATTGTGCATGTTTGTTTCGCTGCTGTTTTTTCTCGCGTGTGCTATGTATATGTTTTATGATGAAGGATTTTATTGACCAGCGGGAGTCTTCGTGAATTGCGGATAAGCAAGTGCTGGTTTTCTCGCTTAACGACATGGATTCGGCATGGCTCTCCGTTTGTCTTGTTCTCTCCATCACTGCCTATCTAGCATTTCTTTCGATGTTGGCGTTATTGGAGACCCGATGTTGTTGCTGCTCCAGCCTTGTTTAAACGAAGTCCTTTAATTGCTCTGCAAGTACTATTGCTCCGAGATTTTGCAAAGCTTAAGACCGAGATCTTGCGTCACGGATTTGTGTATGCTAGTGCCAACGGCGCGGGAGCTACTATATTGTTATTTTCTAATTGATTTTTTCCCTTTTTTTTTCCTTTTTTTCTGTGGTGATGATCTAGTGCGGACATCTTGCTGGCTATGTGTAGGATATGGTGTTGCCCAGTGACGAACTTGGGTGAGGAGCTGATGGTATGTGTGGGAGTCTTTTGTTCTGCTCTATCCGTCTTTTTTGTCTTATGATTGTTTCGAAAGTGCAGATATCCTCACTTCATATGCTATGGTAGTGCTCGCCTTTCTATACTGCTGTGAGGCGCTTCGATCCTGATTGGTCGTGCAAGTACCGAACGAGTTGTATAATTAATGGATCGGCGACAGTGAGCGGTATAAAGCTGCTCTAGGAAAATTATTTTTGTTGTCTGTCGGCATTTCATTTTTTTCACGGCAGTAGCGGCACATTGTGCGAACATGATAGGAGTCATTGTCATGGGATCACGTCTCTGCCTTTGGTCCCTTGCTTACATGGCGATCTGAGCACTTGCTTTTCTCCAGCCGCTCTTATTGTTGCTGATGCACGCTCCGGCGATTGACTCCTGCCCTGCCCCCAACGTTGAAGATGGGTTACTGAGGATGATGATGAACGCATGGCCACTAGTGCTAACCTTGATACTTGTGATTGTATCAGTTTCTTTCATTTCACTATTGATGTTTATGGGGAGTCTTGTGTGTAACTAGAGGACAATTGTCGTCGTATTCGGTAGTAATAATTAGTTGCCAGCTGTCAAGGGTTCGTATTTTTTCGATGTTATCGAGGCTTTATGTGGAACTGAAGGATGACTGTGTTAGCATAGATTGATTGATTGAGGGATCGATTAGACCACTTTCTTCATCGTCCTTGTTTTTTTTTAACGAAACAGATGCTACCTTCGATTCCTGGAGTAATTTGTGCATGCGTCCTTTCTTATGAACACTGTGTGGAGTGAATGACTACTCATAATTCCTTTGTGTGTTGTTTTACTCATTTATAATCCAAACCTTGGTGCTTCTTTCCCACCCTGTGTATGGTTTGTTTTTAGTGCAAATGAGTAGCAATCTTTCATTTTTGCGCTTCCGTGTATGCATACCCTGTTACACCGCTCGCCACGATCGCAAACGATCGCCCTGGTACACATTCAAACACACACACACACACACACACACACATTCACACACAAATAACAAAAGGCCCCGGAAAAAAAAAAAACATTTTTTTTTTCCATTCCTTGATTGTTTCCTTAGGACAAAAAAAAAAAAAAAAAAAGAACGTAAAAACGAAGAATACAAAGAACATACCTTTCTCGGCCTTTTGGCTAAGAT